TGAATCTAGTCCTTTTGGTTTTTAAGTCAGGTTCTCTCTACACAGCCTTGGCTGTCCTGGAACTCACTATGTAGACCAGGTGATCCTCACAGACAGCTGCATGCCTCTGCCTCCCAGGTGCTGGAATTAAAGCTGTGGGCCACCACACCCAACATAGTCATGTTTTAAACATATGATTTCTATAGATTTTCTCCCATTCTATGAGCAACCTCTCACTTTGTTAGTGCCCTTTGATGCATGAAAGTCTTATTTGATGAAATCCAGTTTTATTTATTTATTTTTGTATTCTATCTGGGTTTTACACCACATTTTTTTAAATGATTATTTAATCCAAGATTGTAGTTTGAGTTTCCTCTCTGCCAACAGTCAGGAAAAATCTCTCTCACCTGCCAGTCCCACAGCCGCTCAGACAAACCAAGTAAACACATGCAGACTTATATTGCTTACAAACTGTATGGCTGTGGCAGGCTTCTTGCTAACTGTTTTTATATCTTAAATTAACCCATTTCTATTAATCTATAAGTTCCCATGTGGCTCGTGGCTTACCGATATCTTAACATGTTGTTTCTCATCATGGCGGCTGGCAGCTTCTCCCTCCTCAGCCTTCTATTTCCCAGAATTCCTTTTCTGCTTGTCCTGCCTATACTTCATGCTTGGCTACTGGCCAATCAGCATTTTATTTATACAGAGCAATATCCACAGCACAAGATCCACATGTATATGTCCTTGTAAGAGTCTCTATTTTGAGTGAGTTTTTGTTGTTGTTGTTTATATTTGATGATGTAGTGTGGCTGTGCACATGAACAGAGGCCACACACACACAGAGGTCAGAAGATGACTTTCAGGAGTTGGTTCTTGCTTCCCACTTGGGTCCTGGGGGTTGAACTCAGATTGTCAGGTACACAGCAAGCAACTTACTCCCTGGGCCACCTCACTGGCCCAGGAGTGAAGTTTTCATATGTGAGAGTAGGGATCCAAATTCAGTCTTGGTTGTTGTTGTTGTTTTGAGACAGGGTTTCTCTGTGTACCTTTTCGCCTTTCCTGGAACTCACTTGGTAGCCCAGGCTGGCTCCAACTCATAGAGATCTGCCTGGCTCTGCCTCCCGAGAGCTGGGATTAAAGGCATGTGCCACCACCGAATGTCCCAAATTCACTTCTTCTCATGTAGAAGTCCAAGGAATTGTCCAGCACCATTTACTGAAAGCCCGCTTCCCCCTTGGACTGATCCTGGTCCTTCTCATGTGTGCAGAACATGTTTAAAGGACAAAGTGCTGAATCACCATGTAGACTGTGTCACTATGCCAGATCATTTTCAGAATCTGTATTTGCTGAACTGGACCTTTTAACCTGAATCTTTTGAATGATTACCCCATCCCAGTAAAATAATATGCTTAGTCTTGCTCACCCATTAAAAAGCATGTACTCAATAGTAATTGATGTACCCAGGGGACACATAAGAGAATGCCACACCTCGAGGGGCTTTATTTACCAGCAGTCCAGAGCAGGCTCCTGCCAGAAAGAACTCGAAGGGAGAGTAGGGCTCATGAAGCCAAGACCCACAGGGACCTCATACTGGAGGCAGGCCAGGGAGGAGATATTTCTAAATTTTCAGTTCAGTTGATTAAAACAATTTGTTTTATGTTGTACACAATGGACCTCCCAAAGCCACAGGTGCCCCTTCATGAGAATGTTCTGCTGGACAGGAGGTGCTTGGAGGGCTGGGTGTGGGGCTGAGGGCAGAGCTGGGGAGAAGTTCGGAGGAGCACAACAGCTCAAACCAGGACAGACTGGAATCACTTTGCGGCATCTTTTTCTTTTAATATTTCTAAGACACAGTCTTGCTAGACCAGGCTAGCTCTAAACTCTCATTCTTCCTGCCTCAGTCCCCAAAGCGTGCTAGGATGACAGATGCATGCCACCACAGCCAGCGCAGCAATGAACGCTTTTCTTCCTTTTTTAAAGGCAGGGTCTCCCTCAGCAGAACTCACAGAAGTTCAGGTTAACCAGCTTCGAACTTGTGCCTGGTTCTCCCAAGTGCTGAGGGTCCAGGCTGGCACTACCTCACCTTGCTCCATCATAAACAGTACTTTAAATCATAACGCTTAAACAACATAAGATTGTCTTATCATCAAAATCCTTTTTCTTCCTTTATCAATATTTCTACTACATTTAATCATTCTTGACTCTTGTCAGCATGGGAACTTCTTTTTAAAAACCTTTCATGTTTTCATCTACCCAAAATACATATATATGGTTGAGAAGCAAGACCACAACAAAAACATCTAAAACTGGATGAACAATCTTGTTGCCCAGAGAAACATCACCGACCACCTCCCAGTGTATATTTACCCACACTTCTGTGACACTGTCTATGTAGCCCAGCTTGTCCTTGAACTTGTGACCCTCTTCCTCAGTCTCCTGAGGGCAGAGACGTAGGTGTATGCCACTGTGCCTAGTTTATGAATCTATTCTGTGTGTTTAACCCCTCTCTCTCGCTATTTCTTTTCCAATGGTGGGGATTGGAAATAAGGTCTTACCCAGGACAGGAAAGTGCCCAACATGGAACTGTGTTCATTTCTTGTGTTTTAATATGAGTAAGATTAATAAAAGAAACTAAGGCTAGTCTCTTCCTTCCCTTCTTTCCCACTTCTGTCCCTGAAGAGATGTTTTGAAATAACCATATTTTGTTTCTACTTAGTCATTCTGGGGGAGCCATCCAGCTCACCGCCCTCTCAGAGGCTCTTTCCATTACTCTGGACTGGAAGGTTCTGTCTGGGTTCGATGTGGCTCAGTTTACCACATCACCATGTTAGACAGCTCAAGTTCAGGTTTTATAGCTGACTTGACACAGAACAACTAGATGAACTCTGTAACTCAAAGCCTTACTAAGCCCTAGATGGTACAGAAAATGAAAATGTATTTGGAAAAAACTAAGCTTTGACCTGATGCTGTGTTTGGAGTAGCCTTCCAGCTTCAGGTGTCTCTATCTAGCTTTTCTAGAATGTCTAAAGAGCCTTAGACATACTCCAGTGTTCAATTAATTCCTACTAAATTCTTACTACTACCATAGCTTGTGATCTTGTGGACCACTTTGATGAAGGAACATCAAAATGGCAACATGATTATTGAGAAAGTCTGTATTATATGAAACTGCTTGTGTACATTGGCCTATATTTTAAAATTGCTCATATGATTTATTTTCTTGCATTTTCTTTGCTGATTAGTTTGCCAATAAGACAATGAGCTCCCCACAAAGTTTGACTGGTCTATTGGGGTTAGATTATCAGAGCACACAGTCAGTGTGTACACTGTTTGCTTAAATGATTGTCTGGGTTTATTTCCACAGCAATTATACATTTAGTGTCCTCGCTGGTCCCCTGGAGTCCCTCGCTGTCAGTTTGGTCAGATGATGCTGACTGCAGCAGATCCCACGGGAAGTTCTTAGAGGAAACCTCAGCCTGATTTCAAGATTGCCTCACTGCTTTCCTGGTTTCTCAGCTGATTTAGAGAACTCTGGTGTCTGGGGGTGATGGGTCTATAGCAGCCCTGCCCATTTATATTTTGGAACTGGGGGAGATGCCTTGTTTCTCGTTTTGTTATCTATATGTTTTGAACATTGTTATTTGAATTGGCCTGTGTTTTCATGGCAAAATTTTTGAAGAAGAGTCAAACATTATGTCAATGCTACACAGCTAAAACCACCTCGCCAAACATCAAGTTGAATTACTCACCTTTGTGAGGCATCTGAGCGGTCAATACTTTTGCTCATTTTCCTGCATTTCCTGTTGATTTGTAAGGGATTCTAGACATGAGTAGTTTGTTGGAGACTGTAATCATTTCACCTGGCACACCTTCTCTTTCCACTCTCTTGTGTCTCTGAATGAAGAAAACCCCTTAATTTTAATGCAATCTGGTTGACTTACTGTTATAAATAGCTGCATATGTTATAAAATATTCCCCCACAGTATCTCCTAAACGTTTGTTTTATCTGTCAAATTTAGGCCTGTGATCTATTTGGAATAGATTTTGGGGATGGCATGAAGTAAGAGTCATGTTTCCTTTTGGTTTATGTGAATGATTCAAGTAATAAAGGTATTCAAAAGATCATTCTTTTAACATTTGTTCAAACTCCTTTGGCTTCCTTATTATAATGTGAGATATATGCTTTTCTCACATTGACCAGTTTGCTATTGTGCATCCATTTACTGTGGCATTATAAGTCTTTAGAGCAGATACCTTAAATCCTGTGACTTTGTCTAGAATTATCTTGATTATTATTGCTTTTAGGTTTTTCATGTAAATTTTACAATAAATTTTTATTTTAAAAGCCTTTGTAATATTTTGACTAAGAATGTATTAAATTAATAGTTCAATTTAGGGAAAGTTATTTTCTCATAATAATTGATAAGTCATCTGAACATGGTGGTGCACACCTTTAATCTCAGCACCTGGGAGGCAAAAGAAAGCAGATCTCTGTAAGTTCAAGACCAGCCTAGTTTACAGAGTGAGTTCCAGAAGAGCCAGAGCTATACAGAGAAACTTTGTTTCATAAAAATAATAATAATAAATAAATACATAAATAAATATGATAACTCTTTGAATCCATGAACATGGTGTATGCCTCCATTTTTTAAATTACTTAATTTTTAAAATAATTTATTTATTTGTATTTTATGTATGTACATTGGTGTTTTGCCCACATGTATATATGTGTAAGGGTGTCAGATCCCCTGGAACAGTAGTTACAGTTGCAAGCTGCCTTGTGGGTGCTGGGATTTTAACTCTGGTCCTCTAGAAGAAAAGTCAGTGCTCTTAATTACTGAGCCATCTCTCCATCCTCCACTTAATTTTATTGTAATAAGCAATTTTCAGCACGCAGTTTGTTAGGTTTATTCCTAAGTAATTAATGTGTTTTAATGACAGATTAAGCATGTTTCATTTTTAATTTTATGGGTTATAAGGTGTAGACACTTTTAACTGAATCCCTTTCCTCCTTCCAGGCATCTGATGAAGCAGTGCAGAGAACACAGGGATGTCAGAAGGAAAAGGATCCCTCGGGACGAACTATGGCCTCCCATCCACCATGGTCAGCCTTCCATAGCCATGGATATATTCCCATAGTTTCATTCCTTCCCCAAAGACCTGGAAACATTGTCATCAGTGCTATACCCATTTTCCTTATGATTCCAGACCAATGGACACTTGAACTTCTCTGATATTTAACCCCCAAATGATTCTCACAAACTAAATGTTTCCATGGACTCATGATTAGTTCCTTGTAGTGCTTTTTGTTCAAATAATGTGTGTGCTTATAAACCCAGAAATAAATTACCAAATACCTTTATGAGGATGTATTTTTATGTCAAAAATTTTGGGAAAGAGAGAGGGAGATACAAGCTGGATCAAGAACAGAGAGGGAGAACAAGGAATAGGAGACCATGGTAAATGAAGACCACATAAGACAAGGCAAGAAAAGGAAGAAACAAGATACTAAAGAGGCCCACATAATCCACAACAATAAATCTTTTTTTAAAAGGGTAATCATTTCATAGGGATCTCATGACAAGTGGATGAAGCTCGATGTCAACCATTTATCTGGAAATGGCACAACAATGTTTTTGGAAAATGGTAGGGAAACCCCACAGGAAAAGGGAAGTGAGAGTTGCTGTCTGTGCAGACATCCTTCATCAAGAGGGAGTATTAATCACATGTGAAGAGAACCCACCATGTTTGGTGTGCGGTAACTCTCTAATGAAATCCCAGCAGGCCCACAGCCCTCTCCTCTTGCTACAAGTTTGGATAGCATCTATACCCACAAAGACTCATGTGCTTCTACCTTGGTTCCCAGTGTGATGGTGTTGGCACTGGAAAGGGAACTCATGTGACTTTAGCTAGGTCCTTGGAGGACGGCCCTCATTAATGCCTGTCTCACGGGTGGGTTGAATCTTGCAGGGGTGGGTTAGAATCATCTAGAATGGGTTCTTATAAATGTGTGTGCCTGGGTTTTCCTGAGCTCTCCCTACATGAGTCACCATGTGATCTCTTCCTTCTACATGCCACCAGGATGCCATCCACTGTTTTGATGTAATGAGAAGGTACTCACCAGTAGCAGATTGGACAAGGCCACACCTGATCTTAGACCTTTTGCTTCTAAAACTATAAGCCAAACAAACCTTTAAAAAAAAAAAGAGAGACTCCTAGCTTCTGGTGTTTTGTTATAGCAACAGAAAACAGACTAATACAAGGCTCATTGACAATCCTCCATGCAAACCCACCACACAGTGACCCTGTAAACATTTGTGAGTTTTAAGACCTTCTAAAACTGCCTCAAAGGACCTTTTATAATGTAAGAAATGTTAGGGAACCCACACAGTACACTATCCCAATGACCCAGTGATATTGTTCAAAGGCAAATAATTTTACTGTCTACAACAGGTTTGAGAAACTGTAGTGTGAAGTTGTTCTGTCCTATTTGGTATTTATGAGGGATACACAACCTGATGCAATAAACTACTTTTGCTAAAAGACAGGGGTCATCATAGGACTCAGCAAGATTGTTTATTTGTTTGTTTGAGACAGGGTCTCATTCTGTAGCTCAGGAAGGCCAAGAATACACTAACAAGCCCAAGCTTGTCTCAAAGTTGAAACAATCCTTCCCCTACCTCCCAGGTGCTGAGATTATTGGCATGAGCCACCATGTAGTGGGTAGCCATTCCAGCTTGGATCTGGAAGTTCCAACCCCCATTGAGACTCTGGCAACTGTCAGGCCTACGAGGCGGGGCAAGGGGAGGCACCTGGAGACTGGAGAGCTGGATGGGCCAGCTCTCTCTCTGTGCGCTCTCTTTGTGTCGGGATGCTGAACGGTGAAGGTGGACTGTGCAGAGCTCCGGAGAACACCGCTGGATTGCAATACACCTTCCTCAGACCCTGTGACCTACCTTTCACTTAATTTGTGAGTTACGCCATTAAATAAATGTCCTTTTAACTACATGGAGTGGCCAAAATAATTTCTCCAATACCACCACACTTGGCTCACCACTGAGTTCAAAAATTACACTTTTGCTAGGCCATTTCTGATTATTGCTTTGAAATCTCAGACTTTCCCTGCAATGCTTCCAGTGCATTTATTTGTTTGTTTAATTTTTTATTTTTGTTTATATTTTTGCTTTGTTTGGGGTTTTTTGTTGTTTTTTGTTTATTTTCTTTTCTTTTGATTTCATGACAGGGTCTCTCTATGTAACAGCCTTGGCTGTTCTGGAACTTGCTTTGTAGACCACACTGGCCTCAAACTCATAGAAATCTGCCTGCTTCTGCCTCCTGAGTGCCAGCATTAAAGGTGTGTGCCGCCGCCACCGCCCTACACTAATGCCATTATTTTACAAGTGAAGAAACAGAGGCAATAGACAATGAGTAAGAAAGACAAGCCCTCCACTGTTGTCTCCATTCCCATCAACTAATGTGTACTCTACAATCTGACACATCCTATCATCTGTAACACTTTATATTGTTTCCATTTAAAATTATTGCCAAGAGTATTTCTGTGCCAACACTAAAAAATGTTCTTTTGAGACATGGATTTTCTGTGTAGCCCTGGCTGTCCTGAAACTCACTCTATAGACAAGGCTTGCCTCCAACTCAGAGATGACTCTGCCTCTGCATACCAAGTGCTGAGATTAAAGGAGAGTAACACCATATCCAGCCTATGAATAAATCTTATTCTTTGGGGATTATATGAATTTAGTGAGTGGATCTACTGTAATTCACTTAACTAATGGCCTTCTATGACCATTTCATTTGCTTGGCATTGTCCTATTGTGCTGATTGCTGTAGTGAACATGGTGTAACACTAATATTTTGTACGTCTGAGAAGATGATTCCTGTAAACTCCTAGCAATGAAATCGTAAGGCTAAAGATTATAAATATTCATGTCATAAATATTATTAAACCAGGAAGCAAATGTTTAGGTCATAGATGGTTTCCAGTCATTGTATTTAATGAGTAAAAACTTTTATATTTTTATAAAGGAAAGACTTATTTTCCAGGTACTGGTCTAAGTGCTTTTTAAAGTTTATTTCTTTGGCCTTTAATGTAGAAAAAACATGTGTTTCTATTGATGTTGATAATACTCTGCTACATAAAGAGTAGAACTTTCCCATAGTACTTTGGGCATGAGTACATATGTCTCCTGTAGTGTGAGAGCAGGTCAGAATCCTGTGGGGAACAGGGACGCTCCTTTGAGTGTGCTCCAGAATTATTGTAACCCTCATAGATAAACATTTCTTTGAGGGAGGGGAGTGTCAAATGAAGCCTTTCAACAGAGAACTAGTTCATCAGTTCAATGTTGTGGTTACAGGCCACTCACTTTTTTTCTGATGCCCACAAAATAATTTATTAAGGATATCATTTTGTCTCTTTTGGGAGTTTGGGGAGGGTGAGGCATAGTTTTATGCAGCCCAAGCTGACCTCAAACCTATAAACCTTACTATGTAGCTGCGGATGACTGTGAACTTTTGATCCTCCTGCTTCAACCTCCCATGTGACTGCCACATGCCACATCTACTTATAGCATCTATTTAGAACAATGTATCTAAATTTAGGAATTAAGGAAGGATTCTGATTACTGTACCCTGTAGACAACTTCCTTCTTCTTAGACCTTTTATTTTTCCCACAAGAATAATTTAATTATAATTCAGTAAGTGTACACTATAAAGTATAATTATAACATTATGTAAGTTTTCTCTAGAACAAAGACATTATAATGTAGACTAGATTTCTATTAAGCTACATACATTGAATATAGTAAACAAACTATGTCCCATTTAAACACTACAGAACTACTAGCTGGTAGTTGGCTGTGAACCACAAGACTGTGGTTCCCCTATCATGTGATTAGTAAAAGTACAGCAGAAATCTAGCTGAATTCGTGTGAATCACCCTTCCCTTCTCAAAGGAAAAAATCTGTCTCAGAGTCATCGTTTTCAAATATGAGAACATTTGTGGGTGGTTAACATTTTAATTTCTCAGTGAATACATATTTATTCATACCCATTAGAAATAAGTCAGAATCTAGGGGGGAAAGGCTATAATGCCACATCAAAAGAGAGCCATCCTTATCTTATTGTGCTTCTATTCCTATTGCACAGAATAATCACATGTGGTTGCAGGTTGTGATTTTCCTAGATTTTTTTAACTAGTATATATTGAACCATTTTCTCAGACCTGCAACATACATTGACATTATTTCCAAACAATATATTTGTAAATGTAGGCACACACACACACACACACACACACACACACACACACAAAGTTATATTGATGTGTTTTACTCTCCACCATTGAACATTTAAGTTTTTCTAATATTTTCTCTTTGTTTACCCACCAACTATGAATGTTTCCATGAAGAGTCAGAGGGTTGGGACGTTAAGTTGTATAAGCCATAGGTTTCCTTTGCAGCCATTCAGGCCTGCCACTGCAGGGGTGTCAGAGGATTTATAAATGAACCACTCAGATGGCATTGTTCCAGGACCTCTGCCCTCTTCCTTTCTAGCAGGAAGCACTTCCACTTTCCCTGGGATGAAAGCTCCAACACATCCTGCATCCTCTCTGGACCTTGACTCAGGTAACTCTTGTTCTTCTGAAGTTTTAAAAACCCTTTCATTCTTAATAAGGTGTGGTGATATATACATTTTAAACTTTTGTCATGATATTAATGGTCATATAGAGTACTAACTAGTTCTAGAAAAAAGGCTTCATCTAATTTCTTATACATGATTTCAGGTTTGAATCTCTCTCAGTTTTCTGCAGTGAGCAATAACCATGCCTAACAGTGACTTTGAAGTCTCTAATAAGATGATGGGACCCCAAAACAACAGTCCCATCAGGACTATGATAATGCCACCAAGCTGACAAACACCAACCAAAGATTGACCTTGGATGACAAATTGCTCAGGACAATATCCAGATGGCTAACAGATTACTATAGCCAGGACTTGAGACAAGCCCTATACTTTCGCATTATGCAGAGACTGAACAATAGATGATACAGCTACTTCTCCCAGGACTTGACAATTAACCCAAATTTTTTCTTTTCAAGATCCCCTAAAGATGCCTTGCCCACCTCCCCACGACCACCACAGCAGGAAGCAATTTTAAGAACACAATGCCCACATTCTCAACAGGTGGGGTGGGTGGCTTTTAGCCTTTCATGGGTTATGGATAATTGTCATTATTGAGGATGGTTGTTTACAAGTAGTTAATTGCTAATAGTCAGGAAAAAAAACTAAAACAAAGGAGACTAGATCCAGGGTTCTTATTTGAAAAAAAAAAGAGGGGAAAAA